CGTTGCCACAGTGTAGTTATCTCAGTGACTCCTCCAGGTACGTGGGCAGCTTTGTTTTAAAGCAGCTTCGTGATAATAGTAGGAAGTCAGGTTTGTGATATTCATCGAACACACGGACGTGTGAATCTTGTTTTGTTGTGAAGTTAAGATCAACGAAGCTTCCTAACAGATCTGTTTCTGAAAGGCAGAGAAGTGAAGTTTTCCTGGGAAACCAGGCCTCTGTTAAAACGTGTAAGTCACGATTGTTAGTGTGCGTCTGCACAGCTGACGTCTGCTTTCATTTTGTTTTTTTAACCAAATCTTTCACATCAATATATTAAACAAACAGACTCTTGTGGTCCCACACCAACACGACCCAGTGGGTCTGAGCCTGATCCACACTTTGATCCCAGGACGAGATACAAATCCCAGAATACAATTTAATGTGGAATAAACAGACTTATTTATAGCCCTAGTGAACAAAACCCTGCTGTCCTTTTCCGAAGGAGTTTCCCTGTTTTTAGGATTTTCTGTTAAATGTGCTGTGGGTGTGGAGTTTTCCACGGTTGCTCAGCTGTCACAGGGCGACAGGCTGTGTACCCTGGACCCGCTGCCCGCCTGTCGCAGGGTCAATGAGTGGTTAAGGTTTCCAACTGCAGACGGCTGTCCTGATATTTCTGCGACAAAACAAACAGCTGTGAGATGTTACTATGGTGATAAAGGTTCGTTTATCCAGTTGAAGTACTGATGAAATAATCGTCACGATTGTGTTGCTTCTCTTTCAGCTTCTCGGTCAAGCAGCAAGAAGCATGGTGATTCAGGAGGATGCTATCCTGCACTCTGAGGATGTGAGTAGTCTTCTGATAGGTCAGAGGAATCACGTGAAGTGTGCGTCATTATTGGAGAAAGAAAATCCTCAAAAACAATTTTACACTTGGTGTTCGCTGAGGTCCAAAACTGTGTGTGTGCTCTTGTTCTCTTCATCTCTCGCAGAGCCTGAGAAAAATGTCCATCATCACCACACATCTGCAGTACCAGTAAGTAGCTCTCGTCTCTTTCATGTATCAAACCTGCTGGCTTTTGCTTAAACTGGTGGCTGTAAAGTGTCTCTGTCTCTGTGTGTCTAAGGCAGGAGGCCATTCAGAAGAAGTAAGTGTGACCACAGCTGTTCATGCTTTAGAGACACAGCTGGAGCATTTCTCAGCAGTAAGCTCGGTTCTGCTCCTCTGTCCTCCAGTGTGGAGCACTCGAGAAACCTGCAGGACCAGCTGAGGCACCTGCTGAAGTAACGGAGAGGACACGCTGAGTTCACACTGCAGACGGCGTCTCAGGACGCTGTCGGACTTTTAGTTCAAATGAAATAACGTTTGAAGGGCGGCGCGTCTCTGCATCAGTGAAACGCCGTTACTGTCGCCTCACATCAAACTGCACACATGCTTCTGTCATCCTGGACTACATGTACATCTGTGGGACGGGTGTGTGACAATAACATCAAGGGAAAAAATCAAAGACCTTAATAAAAGTAAAAGTACTAAACGACTTAGTCCATTGTTTTACATTAAGGAGAAACATGACGCTGAGCTGCTCCTGTGACCGGCAGCACGTCACAGAGTGGGTGGGAGATACTTTTCAGCATCTCCTCATCTTGGACAACATCCACCTCTTCAACAGCACCTTTAGAGTCCGGCTCCACAGCATCACCTGCTTTGTGGATCAGTGCATCTGCGAGCCTCAACCTGCTGCTTGTCACAGCATCCAGGACGCACCGGCCACAACAGAGCGTCACACATGTTAAAGGACCTCAGCTGGTCCACAGTCGTGTCCTTTGTCAGGCTGAGCTGCAGATGCTGACACCACAGCAGCGCTGACACAAAATCTGTCAACTAATAAAAATCGAATAAAAGGCTGAAGTGAGGCCAAGTGATTGTCACCTGCAGCTTCAGCACTTTTGTGCCGTTCTTGAACAGGAAGCGATATTTGTGGCCACATTTCTGATAGAATATTAAACTAATGTGAAGTTTAAACGTAGTGTTTCATCCACACACCAGGCTGTAGTCTGGCAACCTCAAGGGAACAAAAATGAAATTATGGGCGAAGCCTTTATCAAAAACAATCCTCAGATTTGAGGGATGTTTTTCTCTTTCGCTGCCTCTTCATCATCCCTGACTGGTGACACGGAACAAAAGGACAAATTTATCAGCAGCTGAAGGCCAAACAGCTGCTCGGCCCTGACAGTGTTCCTGTAGCCGTGCTCCTGAGTTCACACGTGTGCAACAAGATTCACAATTCGCTGCTGATGAGGCGGCGAAATCCAAGGCTAGGCACGTAGCAGGGCCATCAGTGCAGTCTGTGTGCTGTGGTCCAGAGTGTAACTGGGAGCTGGGACCGGCTCCAGCATCCCCGCCACTCTGAATATAAGAAGAATATAAAACACCAATAATAATAACGACTGATGTTCAGCTGCTGGTACAAAAGAATTTCCCTGAAAGATCATCTGCTCAAAGTAAATCAACATGAAGAAATCATGTGAAGAAGAAAATCTTCACACACACAATAGAAAATATGTTGTTCTGCTCTAGAAAATCTGTCACATTTGATTGTTTATTTAACTCAACTCAACTGTGACTTAACAGAAGCACTTACGTCGTACCGTCTTATTCACTCCAGCTGAGTATCTCCCCCCCGGGGGCATCAGCATCATTGTGACATCTCTAGAACATTCTGTCAGATGTCTGTAATGAGCTCAGGCCAACAGGATGTGTAATGTCCTGTGGGAACCGTCCCCACAGCCTTAATGCTGTTATCAGCTGGAGACTCCAGTGTGTTCCAGTCTGCAGAACAACACTTACTGGTTCCAGACAATCACAAGGTTGAGAGTTCCACACACTCAGTTCATGTCTGTGAAAAATACAGTTTTCACTTGTTCATAGCAACAGCTTGATTTGTTTTTCAGTCATTATTATTCACCATCAACAACAGACTACACATCCACCCATCATCCATCTCTCCAGCGTGTCCTGGCTCCGCCCCGCGGCCTCCTGCACAGATGTATATATACTGTTTTAGGGGGTTTATGTTTTTCTGTGGTCCTACACTCTCGATCAGCTGTAAAACAGCCTGTTTCAGTTTGAGCTTTGTTTCTAATAAATGCTTGAAACAATGTTTCGTCTCCCTCCGTTTCTTCTTGTTGTTGTTGAAGCTCTACTTGGAACCTTGTTGAGATCCAACCATGAAAAATATCATTTTTAAGTGGTTTTAAACCTTTGATGGGGACGTATGAAGGTGGGGTGAAGATCAGTAGTCCAGAGGAAATCTCATCATTCGGTGTCTTGATGACCCTGTCTCACACACTGTTCAGACTCAATGAGTGAAAAGGTCGCAGCACGAGATTCACACGTTTGTCTCAATCAGAAGAAAAATAAAAGCGATATTTGCAGTGACCCATTAAGGGACAACTGGACCCAGTTACAATGAAATTAACCAAGGAAAACTTTACTGAGGAGAAACGAGTAGAAAAGAGATAAAGTCTGGTAACACAGCAGCTAAGAGCTGAACTATTATCATGAACCAGGCTTATCAGGAGCTACAGGAACACGTGTGGTATGTTGGAGCAGCAGCTTATCTGCAGCTGAGAGGAAGAGGTTGGATAAACTCATCAGGAAGGCCAGCTCTGTGCTGGGATGCACCTGGACCCAGTGCAGGTGGGAGACAGAAGGACTGTGGCCAAAATAACATCTCTGATGGACAGAGGACAGATTTACATGCATGTAGATGTTGCTGCAGAGCTGCTGCAGTGACAGACTGCTGCATCCTCGATGCATGAAGGAGCGTTTCTGCAGCTCCTTCCTCCCTGCAGCTTCAGCCTGCACAATCAGAGCTGCTCCCAACAAACAGATGTTTACATCTGTAACTTTCACTATTTTATCAACCGATTCACACGACAACCAGGTTGGCCTCTTATCTGTATTTATCTAATAACAGTACAGTACTGTGGTAACTATTGTCCTCGATGTAAATATGTAAAAAATGTGTTTCTGTCCTGTGTGCTGTTTGTTTGTATATGTGTCCTTTTGGCTGCTGTTACAACCAAATCTCCCCTTGTGGCACAATTAAAGGATTATTCTATTCTATTCTATTCTGTTCTATTCTAAGTGCAAATTTAACAGTAAAATCAAAACTCCGCAGCAATGTAATATATTTTATTGCAGTCATGAAAAAGTGTGTCAGCTGCAGAACAATGCATGTTATCACCCCCCCCCAGCATATTTCAAAATAAAAAAAGCATTTGCACTCTCTGCTGCTGATATATGACGTTTGAATAAAACATAAAAACATGCTTTCAGCTTCATGGATTATGAGTCCGTCCTATGAAAAGTCCTCCCGGGCACATCCAGGTTCAAACAGCATCCTTTGATTTGAGCTCACAGGACCTTCAAACTGTGACAGGAAGGAGAAGAGAAGAGCGCAGGACGAAGAACCGTCTCAGCCTGTAGCAGCACAATCACTGCAGTCGCTCGTTAGTAGCAGTCGCAGCAGCCTGGCGACCCTGAACATGCTGTTTGTCTCCCTCTCCTGGCGGTCAGATCTACGTTCTTACTTCTTACCCTGATACTTTACTCGCCCTGTTTGCCGGCGCCAGTCTTGCTCCCTCTGGCACATCTGCACCAATGCAGGGACGCTGCCCTGAAAACTCCAGTGTGCAGCCAAATTACAACCTTTAAGGCCCTCGCTGCAGCTTTATTGGTCGGACATATTTGTAGTTTCTTTAAAATCAAGGCAGCAGCATAAAAACATGACGAAAGAAAAACGCGTCACCGTGCGTACTGAACAGTAACAACACTGAGGCACTTTGAACTCCGCCCACCCCAGGAACAGCATATCAGCAACACGTTGACAGCTGAACCAATGAGAGCCCTTTCAGACTAGTCACAGGTTAACATCAGTGGAAGACCGTGATATTCAGCAACAACAAACCCAGAAATGATCAACGTGTGATACTCTCCCACAGCCGTCACAGCAGAATCCACCGTGACTGCAGCGTGGGACAAACTCTCGGCACAACCCCGTAAACGTGAGACCAACTGTTGATGTGATATTGCGTAACGTGAGCACGTATAAACCGTTAAAAGCAGAGCGCGGACTGAGAGCGCTCACTCGCTGCAGCTACAAATCAAAGTAAAGACAAACGTAAACATTTAAACAGGCTCTTCTGGGGAAAGGTTCACGGCCCTCCCTACTCCTCCTCTTCCTCGTCATCGTCCTCATCGTGGCAGTGGGTAATCTCCTGCGGGGCCTGAGGGAAGAAATGCGGGGGCTGGATCTCACTGATGGATCGGGTCAGCTGGTGTCTTTTGCACTCGAGCTCCTTAAAGTCGACATCGTGGCGGTTTCTCGTGGCGAGCGGCGACTCTATGTCCATGATGTTGACGTGTGTATGTTCCACTGTGGATTCATGAGGCATCTGGGAGGGACACGGTTCAGTGAATGACACAAATCAAGAATCACTTTCTCGTCTCTAACAATGACCCCCATGATGGGTGTGCATGATCTTTATACTCGCCATAAATGGTTGGTTAAATGTCTAACGTACTGAATCGAACCCACCGACAGACCTTTGTGTGAAACTCCTGAGAGCTTTTCGACTTACTGCGTTCACAAACACGGGTGTAGGTTTCTCACCAGCACGTGTGCAGCTCTGAACAGGTAGCTGAAGGGGTAGTAGAGCAGGTTGATGAAGGAGGCCGCGTACAGGTCAGCGTAGCGCATCACCTGGGAGGCAAACAGAGTCTGCCGGGATCCGCTCCGAAACAGGCTTCCCATCATGCCGTAACACATGTCCATGTCATGAGTCACTTTCTGCAAAGGTCACAAACATGTACAGTCACGTCAGACTCGCTGGTGCTGCGGAGTCGAAGGTTCCAGCTGCCATTAGCATCAAACCAGGATACGGAGTTCCTCATCCCAATATTACGGAGCAGGTGGTGTGATGCCGAAAACAAAACTGGTTGGTAATAGTATAGTAATGTGTTGGTTACTCTATGATCACCTCCTCCTTATTCTATTGGCTGCTCTCTTTAGAGTTCACCACAGGAGAGCATCCTCCTCTGCGTACGTCCACACCAGCTCAACCCTGCCTGTCCGAACCCCTCGGCCCGTCCGAACCCCTTGGCCCGTCCCTCTCATACTGGTTTCTAATCCTTCCCATCTGGATCCCTTCTAATAAAAATCGAAGCATATTCAGCTCTGCAGCTCGTCCTCCTATCTTTCAGTGATGTCTAGTTTGGAGACCAAACCTATTGTGATTGGTCACTTAAGTTATGTACATACAGTGTCTTGCAAAAGTATTCGTCCCCTTGAACTTTCCCACATTTTGTCACATTACAGCCACAAACATGAATCAATGTTATTGGACTTCCAGGTGAAAGACCAACACAAAGTGGTGCACACGTGAGAAGTGCAACGAAAATCATACATGACTCCAAACATTTTTACAAATAAATAACTGCAAAGTGGGGTGTGTGTAATTATTCAGCCCCCTGAGTCAATACTTTGTAGAACCACCTTTTGCTGCAGTTCCAGCTGCCAGTCTTTGAGGGTCTGTCTCTACCAGCTTTGCACATCTACAGACTGAAATCAGAGGAAGTTGTACCTTAATGCGTCTCTGCAGGGAGCTGATATCAGGCCTCTCGTTGCTGCTGCTGTCCATGTGCCTGAGGACAAATCATTTGAATGTAGTTTCCACAGCTGAAGGTTGGAATCAGGTCAGAATTAGAACATACTGCCCACTTCTGCACTTATCGTTCTGTTAACAGCTCGAAATGATTCATGGTTAAAGGCGATATAACATATTTAGGTTTGTTACATCTGTGCTGGA